TGGTCTTCGGACGCCGTGAGGAGGCAGGTGCCGTCGGGGGAAAAACGTACGGCCTTGACGATGCTTTGGTTTGTGCCCGGGTTGCTTCTGGGCGGGGGGAGTCCTGTGCCATCGCTATGGAACGCCTGGAGAGCTTGGCCTACGACCAGAGGACCCGGGGTATTATCAAAATCTAGGTCACACGGCGGTGGACACTGCCATGCATCAACAGGTATGGTACTGGTCGCCTCCGTACTGGTCGTTGTGTCATTGATGCTGCTTTCGGAGGACATTGGCGGTAAAGGGGATGGGGGCGCAACCTCCCCGTTTGATAGTCTCTCCGGCGCCGCATCACGCTCACAGGATTGTGAGGGCGATGAATGACCACCTAGGTCCATTAGAGGAGGAACCAGGGGTTATAAACAGTAGGTTGCGTCCGTCTATACCTGTTTCGTATGAAGTGTTTGGAGGGGGCAGTGGAAGATGGGGCTCCAACAGGCGTATCTGGTACAGGTGGGAGGAACCAAGTCAAAGGGTAGCACTATTTTCATTTGATTTCAAAAAACCCACACTTCTCCACATGACTGGCAAGTCATCATGGGAGGAGAGGCGTACAGGAATAATCAGTGCACTTCACCCCGGCCAATGTCCTCGTGGCTGCGCTGCCTCTTTTTCTTGGGGGGGGCACTCCCTCCTAACGTTTTTTCAAAAATTCTGGCCAGCGCCACAACGTGCAGCAGGTTTTTGATTCCATTGCCCCGCCCCTTAGGTCCCAAATATTCTGTAAGGCCTCCGAATACCTCGCACAGTACAAGGGGAATATCATATTTTGCCTGTATCTGTTGAAGAAGGTTTGAAGAAAGGTGTAAAGCCGGTGGCATCCGCTCGTTGCGACATCACATGTGTCGTTAAGCAGCAACCTTATTCTTTCAAACATCGTAGACTGCTCGTACAGTGAGGGGGTTTGTCGCCCAGTAAAGAGAAAGAAGTGACTGTCTTACTGGACGGGTACCAACCTTGGAGCCTGTTCATGGACTTTGACGTATATTGGCAGGGCAAGTCTCCTTTGCCTTCCAGGCAGCCCTTGTACAACACGTACGAGCCGCATCCATAAATATTGGTGCATACCTCCGTGAAGCGAGGCTATTTCAATTACTTGTCACTCGACGCTCATCCAATACATGCCATATTCCCGCCTCGGAAGGAGTTACCAGCCATTTTGATTGAAACGTTCGTCTAGGTCTCGCACTTCGTCTTACAGAGAGGGTTCCTCTTTCCCATCCACCCCTTCTCAAATCCTTTCACCATTTGTTCGATTCCCGACAGGCATGGCTGGACAAGCCCGAAAGAAAGCCCAAAAGGCCGCCTCCACCACCGGTGCTTTCTACTGGAAAGTGATCCTCGGCGTGAACCTCCTGTACGCCCTTTGCCTCATTTACCATATCCGTCAAGACACCCCGTCCTGGCATGCGTTGCAGGCATGGACCTGGGTGCAGAAGGTGCTCTTTGTATCCTTGACCTTGCTTTGCTACACATTGGGGTACCAGGGTCTGGTTTCCGCGGCCGCGTCACGCATGTCGGCCTCTGCCTACGTGGACTTGCTGGGGATCACCGCCGCCGCTCAATTTAGCTCGTTTGTGACTCGATATTTCTGGGTGCTCTACTTAGTGCTGCCTGTGGCAGGCGTGTACCTGTACGTGTGGCCTTTGTTGGGAATGTTGCGGTCCATGATGGGGGGAGGGGGAGGGGGGGAGGGAGAGACCGCCAAAAAGGTGAAAGGCGGTCGGTCGAGGTGACAGGGGGAAGTGAGGCGCGGAAAAGGCAATGAGGGAAGCTAAGGTTTCAGGAATGGGGCATCGAAGACCGAGATTTAAAGAAAAAAAGGAATCGGAATGCGGGACAGGGGCCCAAAGGGCAGCCCCCGACGAGGGAAACCGCCGTTGGGAGCCACGCAGGGACTTACTGTGCCCTCAGGCATGGGTATTTTTGATTTTGCATGACTTTGTATTTCATTTATATCGATGTTCGCTGCTCCCTTCTACCTTGCGCCATTTCAATGTCCTTGTGCAGGGGCTACATCTCACCCGGCATTGAAGAGATGGCCGCCTTCTTTCATTCATTTTTTTATACAGAGTTATCCCTGCGCTCTCCGTCTCCCTCCCCCCCCTTTTTTGCAGCCACTGCCCGGGGATAACCTCCCTTCTCCCTCTCTCCATGCCCTCTCCCTCCCTCTTTCCCTCCCTCCCTCTTTCCCTCCCTCCCTCCTTTCTCAGCAGTCCAAAAAGTTTGCCGCCATCAAGAGCTCGAGGGCAATCTCCGGCTCCATTTTGAAGTCAGGAACTTTCTGAGGAGAGTTGGTGTACCTCACCTGGTTAGGAGAGGGAGAAAAGGTCGGTTAAGGGAAAAGAAAAGGGAGGGAAGGAGGCAGAGAGGGAGGGAGAGGGAAACGTCAAGCACATAACGCGAGGGAAAGGAATTGCACTTTAACGCAGAATGATCGAAACCAAAATGTCCCATCAAGATAGCCAAGGATCAAGGGATTGATCTTCAAGTGAACGCACCTTGTAATAAAGGTATTGGATGACTTTTTCCAATATGTTGGTGGAGATCTCCGGAAAATTGATTTCACCTTTGCTCTCGGCAAAATTACCAGCCAACATGGCCTCAATGGTTTTACTCACACAGGCGCATTTGCGGTCGACGATAAATTCGTGACCTTCCGCGCTGCGTAGGGAGATGGAGGGGGGGCGGGAAGGTGGGAAGGCAAATGGGAGCCGGAGGCGGCATGAGATACGAGCAAATTAACACGTAAAAGTAGCAACTACTTGAATAGGACAAGGACACAGACAAGCATAAGAAGTTTGTTCAAATGGACAATAAGGGTCAGAAAAATAACAAGCAGCAGCATGTCAACGCGGGCCCCTGAAAGGCAAGGCAGAGGTTCCAGGTCTACCCAACATGGCCACGCCTCCCAAAGCATTTATCCCTTCACCCACCCCGTCTCCAATACACCTACCTGATCAATTTGACGTATTTAGAGGCGTCGTCTTCCATGCTGTCCGCGGTCTGCCTGTGTTCCCGGTCGCTTTCCTGCTCCTTGGGCAAAGACAGCTTCCCGGTGGCCCCGTAGCCCGTTCCCTCACAACCCGCGGTCCTTCTCCTCCTTTCCCGTTGTCAATGCCTCCCCTGTCAATAATTCCACAAATGGCGGCGAAAGTCATGCATGAGGATGTATGAAATGTCTCAAAGACGCCTCTTTCGGCTTTGGGGGCCACCAGGGACGCCAACTTCTCGCCTTTTTTTTCCTTTGAGGAAAGGGCTGTAGTCGCTCCCGACATGCACGCAGCGAGGAGCGAGACAGATTCGAGCTACCTGATGAAAAAAATGCCAGGTTTTGCCGCATTTCCGGACCTTGCGCGTTTATGAAGGGTAATGAACGTCAATGCGTTGCATATCGTGTGTCATGGGTCGTTGAATGTCCGGTATTTCCTTGTTATTTGTGTGTAAATGCGGCTCACGGGCCAGGGGTCTCTTAGCCTCCTCCCCAGGGTTCCTCCTTACACCATTTGCCTAGAGCGTCGCACGTACGTCTCTTTTGGAAAGAACATGTGGGTTTGAGGACGTGATTTTCATTCCTTTTGCCAGGCTGTACATCTCATCGGCTTTTTGCGACGCGTGTGTTGATTTTAAGATGCCTTCCGTATCATTTTCCCTCGGTTATTCGTGTGCAGTCCCGCGGCATAGATTTGTCCAACACCAGCTTTCATTTTACGCACAGATAGCTGACACAGGTGCTTTTAAGTACTCCAAGGACTCCTTATTGAGGACAGCCAAGGCATCACAATCCCCTGGCCTTCTTTTTCATCCCGCACGACTTCGTTTTGCAGGCTGGGGTGATTTTTTCCTCGGACCGCGTCCCTACCCATCACGAATCAACGAGGCGCTGAGGTGCTTTTAAGGTTTCCTGCGTCCACACACGTCCGTCTGGAAAACTACGGCTCATCCACAAAAGTACACACCCGGTCGCCACCTCGAACGCGGCCAAGTGCTTTAGCCGTCAACAGACCTTTATCTTTCGCTTTTCCCCTTGACCAAGGGTCGGCACCTCCTCCCTCCTCCTCCCAAACCCCATCCATTCCCATCGCCCGCCATGGCATCGGAAACATCCCTCCCGGACATGCTGGCCAGCGCCAAATCTTCTTTGGCCCGGCACGACACGCAAGCCGCGAAGCGCCTGCTTCAGTCCATGATCGTCCAGGTCCTTCACCTTCAACGCCTTCACTCCAAGCAACGCGCCCCCCCTCCCTCCTTTCCTCCCTCCTTTCACACGGGCATCAACCCCACGCCTCCCCACGACTTCCCCGACCCCTCTCCGGCCCATCCCTCCCCTCCTGCGCCCGCACCCCCCCTGAACCTCCCTCAATTCAACGCCCTCGCCCTCTTTCACCTCGGCCAAGCGCTCTACCAGGAGGGCGAGGACTGGGACCAGGCAGCCTACTGCTTCCTTCTTGCCTCCAAACCCTGGCCACCCCTTGCGAACGTGGCCCGGGAGCATTTTCGGGCCTTGTTCCCCGAGACCTCGGCCTTTTTCTCCCGGGAAATGAGGGACCTGGGCGTGGACGGCAGCCAACGGCTGACCGCCTTGTTCTGGGACACGGAACGGCATTGGCAGTTGGCGCGGGCCATGACACGGAGCTTGACGGGGAGGCGAGGCGG